CCGCTCACGCAGGCAGAGCGGATGGAAGCCAGACCCAGCTCGGGGAGGGAAGGACACGTCCCTGGGCGGGGCTGGGGTGGGGGGCAGCTGAAAGTAGGCTGCGGGGCTTCAGGCCTGGCCCGAGAGTTGAGGGCGGGCTGTCGGGATCCAGGCCAACCCGCCGAGCTGTCCAGCCCGTCAGGCCATGTGCACCCAAAACACAGACTCCGGGAGGCCGCTTATCAGCGTGGCTGTCCCATGAGCTCAGCACTCTTCCCACTTAAGAGCAGAAACATGTGTCTCCATGACTCTGTCCCCGCGGCCAGCAGGAGCGGGGTGGGGAGCCGCCCGCCCTGACCCCATTACCCAGGCGCAAAGAGTGAGCCGAGTGGCCAGACCCTGGCCCAGGGCCCTCCCGGGCAGACCGAGCCGCCACGAGCACTGTTTTCCAAGCTGCGCCCTCTGGGCAGGAAGCTCAGGGCCTCTGCGCCCTCAGAAACCTGTTGGCCAGGCCTTTGCTTATCAAAGGGCCACACAAGCGGGGTGAGGGTCCCGCCAGGGCCCCCGGACGCAGGAGGCAGAGGACGACGTGGCTCACCGGCTTTTGTGGACCATGTGGGGACCCAGGGAGCTCTGACCAAGTAAGTAGTCCTAGTTTCATACGAAACGTTCTACAAGTTGCCGTTTTCGCACGCCCCGAGGTGAATCGTGGGGCAGAGGAAACGGCTCCTGGGGAACAGGCCGGGTTTGAAAGTCAGATTTTCCTCTCTCTCGTGCTGCCCAGAACTTTTCCGAGAGACATGAGAGGAGAGAAAACAGACTGCACTGTTTTCAGTCAAAATAAAACTGGCCGGCCTGCCTCGCTGTATTCTTCAAGCCGCCCAGACGTGAGCCGGAGCGGATCTCCGCAGCTCTGCCCTCCGCTGCCCACGTTTGGCCCTAAGTGGGGTCTACGAGCTTTGCTTCTGGTCAGGGGTCTCGGGGACCCTCTGCGGGCAGAAGAGGAACCAGCAAGGATCCCGGGATCCGCCACTTTCCCCCGTGTCTACCGCCACCAGCCTCACCGGCCCCTGGGACACGGCCGCTGCTGCCTTCCAACCCGTATGTATCCGTGTGCCCCTGTGGCCTCCGTTAATCCCCCCCCCCACCCCCCGCCGCCTCGTCGCAACACACCGCAGCAGGTTTCAGAGCCTGAGACATACCCCAGCTCTCTCAGGCTCTCTCCCTCTGAGGACAAAATGCAGCCACCCACCCAGCCAGAGGGGTCGCACGAGGTGGGCTGGTCTGCTGACCCTGCCTCTTCCCAAGCTGCCCCCCCCAGCCCCCGCCCCGCTCCACCAGTCGGGGCCTGGATCACGCAGGCTCAGTCCCACCCCAGGGCTTTTGCACTTGCTGTTCCCACTGTGTTGAGGGGGGAATTGCATCCCCCAAAATGTGTTCAAGTCCAAACAGCCAAGTACCTGTGAACGTGAACTTCTTTGGAAACAGGCTCTTTGCAGATGTGACCAAGTTAAGATGAGGTCCTTAGGGTGGACCCTCATCCAGTGGACTGGTGTCCTTAGAGCAAAAGGGAAATTAGGGCACACAGACACATAGGGAGAATGTCACGGGACCACGGAGTGATGTGTCTACGAGCCAAGGACCGCCGGCACCACCGAGGCAGGAAGGAGGCTTCACGAGGCGTGGCCCTGCCGACGCCCTGACTTGGGGGTGGTCCTCTGTGGCGGCGGCTCTGGACGCTAATCCACGCTGCCCAGCACGCCATCCCCTGGCCCTCCCTGTGGCTCCTCCTTCCCCGTCCGGCCTCAGCTCAGAGGCCACCGCTGAGGGCGACCAAGCCCCCGACGCTGCCCTCTCCCACCACGGAGCTCCTGCGTCTGGACCACTCAGTGGCGGCCTCCCCTCCCTCCGAGGGCAGGCGTGGAAGTGGCCTTGTGCGCTGCCGTCTCGGTATACAGGTGGCGATCAGTAAGCGTTTACGGAGGGAGGCGACGAAGCCGCCAGCCGGCCAGCCCACTCACCTGTTCTTGTCGCTGCCCTCGGGCTCGTCGACCTCGTCAGCGCTGCAGGTGGCGCTGGAGTCGCTGTCCTGGGGGGCGCCCGGGCCCTTGGCCGCAGGGCCTTTAACCCCAGGGCCGCCGGCCTCCTTCTCCAGCTTGGGCGCCCCCTCGGCTGCGGCCTCGGCTGCGGCCTCCGCGCCCCCCTTGGCCTTGTCGGGCCCCTCCTCAGCGGCCTCCTCCTCGCGCTCGCTCCTGATGGGCTCCGAGGGGGGCGCCTCGCCGGGCTCCCCTGCCTCGCCCACGTCGGCTGCCAGCTCTTGGGCCGCAGGCGGCTTCTGCTCCTCTCCCTCTTCGGCCGAGGGGGCGGCTGCGGCCTCTTCCTCCTCCTCCTCCTTGGGGACCACGGCAGGGGCCGCGGCAGGCGAGGCGGGCGCCGGCGGGGACGCGGGGGGGCAGGTGGCTTCGGGGGCCGGGGCGGGCTCGCTGGGGGCCGGAGCGTCCTCAGGAGGCGGGCTGGGGGGCTCAGGAGGTTGCGCATCGGCGCTCGGGGTGGGCGGGGGCTTGGGCCCGCTCTGCGCGGTGTCCTTGGCGGCCTCGGTGCGGGGCGACGGGATGCTCTCGGTGTCGGAGCTGTTGTTGACGGTGGCTGTGCGGGGACAAGTGAAGATGGAGTGAGCGGTGCCGGGGGCTCAGGGTGGAGGCAGGCCCGGCCCCCCCCGCCCCACGGCCCCCCGACAGCCCCGACTGCACGCCCTGGCTCCAGGCAGGAGCTCAGGGTGCTGTGATCCCATCGCTCGACACCACGCATCCCTAAGGCTCCTACACGCCTGGGCAGCGCCCCCGCCAGCCCCTCCCAGTGCCCTGTCCTCCTCTGGCCGCCCTCTCCACCTGCTGACCCTGGAGCCCAGCAACCTGTTAACTTCCAACCCCCCGGGTGGGCGGTCCGCACCCCACAGAGTCAGGCTGGGGGCGGCCAGGGCTGCAGGCCTTTGTTTTGGGGCCTCCTTTTTCTCATCTGGGCTGCAAACCCTGGCTCTGCCCCGGCTGGTGGCCTGGCCGTGGTCATACCGGTGGCCTCCCAGCCTTGCTTTCCCCATCTGTAGAGTGGGGAGAACCGTTCCCACCCCACAGGGGCTGTGACAGCACAGGGTGACACCTGGTAACTGCTGTTGTATCATCACTGCTGTCATCATAACACGATGACATAAAATGGGGCCAGTGAACTCGAAGGAGCCCACGGGGAAAGGGTCCACACCGACTGCATCCCCCAGCCATTTCCCACAGGGCTGGTACACAGCAGGTGCACAATAAGTATCGATCGAATGACTGAATGTGTGTACAGATGAAGGGAGAGGGGACCTCAGCTCCAGGCAGGCCTGGCTCTTTGGGCTTAACAACCGCTCCTGTCACTTCCTGGGTTTCAATTTTCCCCATTTTCTACAAAATGGGCACATCCGAAACCCCCCTCCTCCACATTTCCTGTTGGGGAAATCGAACTGGGTAAGCGTCGCAGGTGAACACACTAATGAAAAATCAACCAAGCAGTCAAGCCAGCACACTAATCTGCAGGACTGAGCCTGGGGACGGCATGGGGAACAGACACTGCACGGAGGAGGGGGCACAGAGGTGGCGGCAGCACAAATGGTGGTGCTCACAGGCAGAGGCGTGCTCACAGAGGTGGGGCCCCTCATAGAGAAAAGGCCCCCTTGGGATGCCCCCCGCCCTGGTCAGGCCCTACCCCCGCCCCCGACGGCCAGCTGGCCACATTCGTACCTGGGCCACTGCATTCCCCTCTGGGTACCTCGTTCCCAGAGGCGTGTAAGGCTGGAAGGAAGTGAGAGAAGGGTTAGAAGCGAGGTGACATGAGCAGCAGGTGGGGTGGGAGGAGGTTGTGTGGCCAGGCAGGGCTGGGAAAGGGGCCCAGGGCCCAGCAGGCAGCAGGAGGACCTACAGCCCTGTCCCAAGAGCCCTCACCCCTGAACACTCCTGGGTGCCCTTGGACAAGTCACTGGCTCCAGGGTCCTGGGGTGGGAGGTGCTGGCCTCAGAGGTGGGCAGGGCTGGGGGAGAGGCCTTTGGGGCTGCCCGGCCCCGTCTCACCCCTCAGACGCAGAGCCGGGTCAGCAGGGGTTGCTGGTGCCCTGCACAAACGCTTCCCTCAGCTTTCACTGCCTCCAGACCCCCGGCCTCTCCCACTTTAAGGCCCAGAGCGAAGGCCGTCCCTTCCAGAAATAATAATCCCAACAAGAGCAACACAGGGCTCGCTCGGTGGGTGCGGAGCTCTGGGCAAAGCTCTTCACACACACGACTCATCGCACCCTCGATAACCTCTAAGTTGGAGGTGATCACCATTCTCCTTTTCAGATGAGAAAACAGAGAGGTTGAGTCACTTGCCCCAGGCCACACTGCGTGGAGGCAGGAGGGGGCTGACCCCAACATCCTGTGTCCCTAACCACCGGTTCCTGCCCCTGCCTTCTGACTCCGGCGATGTCACTCCCTCCTTTCACGTCATCAGACCACAGGATGGAGGGGGCCAGTGCTGAGGTTCCCCTGGATAAGTGGTTTCGCCCCAGAGTCTGTGTGTTCATCTACAAAGAGGGCGGTTCACGCCTGGCTCTCTCCCTTACCCAGAGGCTTGTCTGTCTCCGTCGGGGATTCTCACACCTGAGAGAGCCTGAGGGCCATGAAGACTCACATGGCTGGGCCCACGCCCAAAACGTTTCTCACTCAGTAGGCCCAGGTTGGGCCTGAGAATCAGCACTCCTGACAAGTCTGAATCCTGGTCCCCAAACAGGCCAACTGGTTACCTTGGGTAACCTCTCTGTGCCTCCGTGACCTCATCTGTAAAATGGGGTGATGACAGCACCCATTGGGCTGTTGTGACAATTAAAAGGAATAACTCAAGGCTGCGGCTCTTATGACCACGATCTTTACTAGAGACACTACGGAGCCAAATGGATCACTCCTCCCTCCCCTGGATTCACCTCCAGCCTGGATACGACAAGGCACTTGCTGCCTGTCCCGTGGAGGGAGGGCTCTGCAGTGCAGTTGGGGCTGGCGGGGTATTCCAGAAGGTTCCACTGTGGTGACCTCAGGCCCTAACCCAGAACCTACCTCACGTCCCCTATCCTGGTCACAGGGACAGAGTTACGCAGCAAATGCCGGCTGGACTGGCAGATTCCAAGTCCACCAGCTACATGACACCCCATGTGCGTGATTCTCCTCTCCCTGGGCCTTGGTTTCCTCATCTGTAAGATGGGAACATCACCCTGTGCCTTTGGGCAGGATCTTCTAAACTGCCTCCTTGATGTGCACAGAGCCATCAGGTGGTCACAGAAGCCCTGGATTCAGCCAGACCAGCACCCTCGCCCCCCTACCCAGCAGAGAAAGCCTCTCCCCCCATCCTTGATAGTTTGTGTGAACGCTACAAGTGACAGGGAGCTCACCACCGCACAGTTCTCTTACTGGGCAGCGCCTGTTCTGCTTTTAATGCTGAGCCAAAGACTGGCTTCCTCTAACTTTCCCACCAAGCCTGCATCCTGCCCGGATGGATATTTAATGAGGGGATTGGGTTTCTGCTCCCTAGGCTCCCTTTTCCTGGCTACAGACCCAAGATCCAGAACGCGAAGAGCAGAGGGATCTGGAGCCTCCATCAGACACTGGTCAGGCCTCTGGTCAACTCGGGCTAGAAAGACCCAAGGCTGGCAGGAAGGCCAGACTCACCCCCCCAGGCCCATCCCCAATGTAAGACAGTAATAACCAAATGGCTTGATTCTCCATTTTCAACCAGGAAGTAGGATTCAGGCTGGTGAATACACTGCGGGCTGGTATAGCCCGAGTTTATTTGCATGTCTTGTTCACGGAGCCAGGGAGTGATTCACACTTTCCTCACACGTTGGCAGAAGTTTGGGAGTTTAAATGCAGGGACAGGCAGACAGGAGGAACAGGAAGGAACCCTGGCACGGACAGGAGGAGAAAAGGTTCCCTCCACCAAGCACTTGAGGCCCCGCTGGGGAGCTCTGGCCAGGGAGATGGCGGAAGGAGAGGCAGAGACATTCAGCTACGCAGGGGTTGGGGTCTTCAGGGGTGTCATGCCTTGAGGGCTGGTGTAGACCAAGGAAAAAGGAGAGGGGCGGGGGCCAAAGGCAGACTGATCAGTGACCAGGGGTGTATGGTGTCGGGCAGCCAGGTGTAACTCCCGAGTCTGCGAACACTGATTACACAGCAGAGCCGCAGGTTACGTGGGGGCCGGGCTCTGAAGTTAGGCGACCATCTCGTGCAGTCAGAAATCCTCCTTTTGAGAAGTGGGCCAAACTGCCTGTGCAATTTAAATGACTGATTCTCGCTCTCTCTTTAGCAGCCCTCATCTGGTGGGAGAATTCATCTAAGGTCAGGGTAGACGATGCATCTGTGTGATACCTGGGGTGCCTGGAGTAACTGCCCTGAGCCTCAGTGCCCGCTGATAGAAAGCGGGGGCTGTGCAGCTTATCACCCAAATCGAGACACTTGGGAGTAAAATGAAGCAAAATTATATAACTTTTGAATGTTTATCGACCAACGGTATTGGTTGTACTTATATTAGTCAACTTGTAAAATAACAGTTCAGGTCAAAAAACTATTTTCAGGGACTTCCCCGGCCGTCCAGTGGTTAAGACTCTGCACTTCCACTGTAGTGGGCGCGGGTTCGATTCCTGGTCGGGGAACTAAGATCCCGCATGCAGCACAGTGTGGTTAAAAAAAATTTAAAAAAAAAAACGATTTTCAGAAATAAACTTTTTTTTTCTAAAATGTGACGCCAGAGGTGCTGGGCAAGGTAATAGGCGTCACCAGAGCTGGATGAGACCTGGACGTGTAAGGTCACCAAGCACAAGACTGAACTCACAGGGGTCAGGAGGATTGAATGGACAAGTGTCCTGTGGGCGCAGAGATGCCGATTACCATCATTATTGTTGCCACTGTCACCATCATTGTCACTGTCATTTTCACCATCATCATCGTCACCATCACCACCAGCATCACCATCACCATCACCATCACCACCACCACCAGCATCATCACCATCATCATCACCACCATCATCACCATCATCATCACCACCATCATCACCATCACCATCACCATCATCACCATCACCATCACCACCACCGCCACCACCATCACCATCATCATCACCACCATCATCACCATCATCACGACCATCACCATCACCACCGTCATCACCATCACCACCATCGTCATCACCATCATCATCATCATCATCACCATCACCACCACCATCACCATCATCACGACCATCACCATCACCACCACGACCAGCATCATCACCATCATCATCACCCCCATCATCACCATCATCACGACCATCACCATCACCACCACGACCAGCATCATCACCATCATCATCACCCCCATCATCACCATCATCACGACCATCACCATCACCACCACGACCAGCATCATCACCATCATCATCACCCCCATCATCACCATCATCACGACCATCACCATCACCACCACGACCAGCATCATCACCATCATCATCACCCCCATCATCACCATCATCACGACCATCACCATCACCACCACGACCAGCATCATCACCATCATCATCACCCCCATCATCACCATCATCACGACCATCACCATCACCACCACGACCAGCATCATCACCATCATCATCACCCCCATCATCACCATCATCACGACCATCACCATCACCACCACGACCAGCATCATCACCATCATCATCACCCCCATCATCACCATCATCACGACCATCACCATCACCACCACGACCAGCATCATCACCATCATCATCACCCCCATCATCACCATCATCACGACCATCACCATCACCACCACGACCAGCATCATCACCATCATCATCACCCCCATCATCACCATCATCACGACCATCCCCATCACCACCGTCATCACCATCACCCCCATCGTCATCACCATCATCATCATCATCATCACCATCATCATCACCACCATCATCACCATCATCACGACCATCACCATCACCACCACCACCACCACCATCACCATCATGCTCTCCTTTTGGGGCAGTCCAGGCTCCTTCTCAGTAGCACCCAGGCATTTCTGGGAGAGGTCAGCTCCCACCGCCCACCCTCACCTTCTGCCTCCTCCGCCATCTCCTCCTCGTTCCCGCTCACGCCTGACGCCTCCATCTCCTCATCCTCCACCACGGGCGGGAAGGCAGCCTCCTCACTGGCAGCTGCCGGCGCTTTCTTTTTCTTCCTCCGTGCGTTCCTCTCCTTCTCCTAGGGCACAGGGATAGCAGTGGGTCAGGGCCAGGGCAAGGGCCTGGGCTGTCAGCCCAGGGACTCCCGGTGCCGGAGGCCTGCCACAGCTGCAAGGGACAGTGATCCCATCCACGTGGTCTTGAGGGTGCCCTTCCCCCCACTGCACGGCCAGACATGCCAGAGCTTCATTCTTCCATCACGCCCCAGATACACCTGGGGCGCAACCTGGCCTACAGGCTGCCCAGACATCCTTCCGGAACAGATGAGGAAGGACTGCCTCTGCCTGGAAAGCCCCCATGATCGCTCCAGCCCTGCCAGCTGTCCTAGCCAGAGCAGTGACCACACCCTCTGGAGGACACACTGCCAGGCACGGTCAGTACACTGGAGAGAATGAATGAAGGAAGCTTTTCCTTGCAGCCTCATCTGCCCCCAGCTGAGCCCCGGGGGACAGGCTAGCTTGGGCAGCATGTCATTTCACCCCACCAGTCTTTACAGGGCACCTCTTGTGTGCCAGGTACTGCCCCAGGGGCTGAGAATACACGACGAATGAGGTAGACAGGGTTCCTGCCCCACAAGCCAGCTAGCCGGAGAGATGAGCAGTCAACACATCAATTAAAAAGACGACTCAGAGGTGGGGGCATGGCTGCTGAGAGGGACAGACAGGGTGGGGTGAGAATGCAAGGGCGGGGCAAGGAAAAGGCTTCTTGAGGAGGTGACATCTGAGCTGAGGTCTGAGTCGTGAGAAGCTGGCCAGGCAAGGCTCTGGATGAGTGTGGTCCAGGTGGAAGGAACTGCAAGTACAGAGGCCCAGAGGTGGAACCAGCTGGGTGGTTCAAGGAACAGAAAGAAGGCCTTCGCTGAGCAGCCCTTCACTTCCCTCCACGCCTCCCCCAGGCCCCAGAAGCCCTGCTCCCCACGCGTGGGGCCAGGCACCCACCCCCAGCTCATCATCACTCCTCCTTGACAGCTCCCGTCTTTGCACCGCACTGGGCCAGGGGTTCCAGAAGGGTGTCTCTTTACCCCCATGCCGAGCCAGCCAGAAAGTGTTGATTGACTTACTGAGCGACTGAATGGGCAGCGTCCAGGGCTTGAACACACGGTCGGCAGAGTCGGGGTATATGTGGAGGCAGAGTGTGCTGGGGGTCCGAGGTGACCAGGGGCTCCCAGGGGAGTGGACTGGTCCCTAAGAGGAGACCCGCCCCAGTACAGCTGGTGTGACGGGAGGGGTCGCAGCCTGAGCCCTTTGGGGTCCCTGAGGAAGGAGATGGAACCTAAACACTCCCAGACATGCCAGCAGCTCCCAGCGAAGCCCCTCACACTGGGCTGACTCGGTTCCTCCCAGAGTTCGCGTCCACCCGAACCTCAGGATGTGACCTTTCTTAGAAATGAGCTCTTTGCAGATGTGATTAGGATGAGTTCATATTAGATTAGGGTGGACCCTAAATCCAAATGACTGGTGTCCCTAGAAGAAGAGGGAAATTGGGACACAGAGGCACCCAGGGGAGGGATGCATCCCCAAGCCAAGGAACGTCAAGGATTGCAGGCCACCCCCAGAAGCTGGGAGCGCAGGGCAGGAGCCTCCCCTGGAGCCTTCGGAAGGAGCGTAGCCCTGCCCACACCTTGATTTCAGACTCTTAGCCTCCAGGATTGCAAGAGGATATGTTCCTGTACCAGTCTGTGGTGCCTTGTTACAGGAAACAGGAAACTAATGCATCTCCCCTCCGCCAATCCCCCGGCCCCCTGGAGAAAGCCACCATCACCGTACGTGAGTGAAAACACAGCACGGCCCGCCCTCGGGCAGATGCTCCATCACCTCCAGGCGCCAGCCGGCCCTGCCCAGCCTGGCCCCTCACCATGCAGCGCTGGGCGCAAGCCTCAGGGGTCCCCAAGCCCCCGGGGGGTGGGATCACTTCCTGTCCTGCCTTCTTCCTGAGCAAACGGGGGACCTTGGGGTGCAGCCGCTCAGAACTCGGGGAGGAAGAGGGAAATGTCTGCTTGCCCGTTAGCCACGGCTTCCGTCACCAGCACACGGCCAGGGCCACAGCCCCACCCTGCTGAGTGTCCACGGGACCACTGTGGGAACGCCCAGCTCCGCCATCCGCCTGCCCCTGGGGGCTGGCGCACCCCGGTCCCAAACCCCGAGCTTCTCCCGGAGGGCCCCCGGCTGGAGCTCGCGGGGGCATGAGAAAGCTGTGTGGCCTGTGGGTTTGTGGGTGCAGCTGAGGGATCCCCCTTCTTCCCCAATCTATTTTTAGCAGGCAGGGACTCACTCGAGTGCTGGAGCTGGGTGAGGCAGGCGACTGGCTGCCCGGGGGGTGGGGGGATGCTCGGAGCCTCGCAGGGAACGGGGGCTCCTATGGGCCTGGCTGGGATGCACGTCCTGCTGGGAACCTGAGGTCTCTCTGAGCCTGCAGCCCAGGCCACCTCAGGCCAAGTGGGGTGAGTATGATGCCAACACCAGAATCCCCCCAGCTCTGGGTTTCAGAGGCTGGGACTTAGTGTCCCAGGAATCATACCAAACCCTTCCACATGTGGCCCCGAACCTCAAGATTGGGACGTGTGTATGGAACAGGAGATGCTGGCAGTAGTAGTATCGGTAGTTACAGCTGATGTCTGTTAAGCACCTACTATGTGCCAAGCATTCTTTACTTATTAATTCACTGGATCTGCACGTCCACTCTGCGAATCAGAGCATGCCACTCCCTACCTCGAACTCTCCAGACGCTCCTGGAACCTCTTGGTATAAAACCCAAGTCTTCCCCACTCCATACAGTCCAGTGCGATCTAGATCTGGACCCCGCCCAGCTCTCTAACTCGCTCACCCTCCTTGGTCTGTTACAAACACACTGCCCTTCTTGTGCAAATGGGCTTACAATGCCCCGGCCACAGGGCCTTTGCACTCGTCATTTCTCTGGCTGGACAGCCTTCTCCCAGACACCCACATGACTCACGTACCCACCTCCATCAGGGCTTTGCTCATACATCACCTCCTCAGGGAGGTCTTCCCTGATTACCCTGTCAAAATCAGCTAATCTCGTTCCCCGTCAATCACTTTCTACTACTATCCCTCATCTATCTTCAGACCACAATCTGAAATTATCTGTGAGTTAATTTGTCTCTAGAACTAGAATTAACTCAAGGGCGGGCATCTTTGTCTGTTCTCAGCTGTATTCCCAGGACACCTGGAACAGCGCCTGGCACAGAAGAGACACTCTGTAACTACTAATTTAGATGCATGAACCTGATAGACAAAGACGCTGGCCCAGAGAGGCAGAGACACTTGCCCAAGATCACACAGCTCGTGGGTCAAGAAGCCCAGACTTCAGTGCAGGTCAGCTTCAAGTACCTCCCTGTCTGACCATCTCTCTCTGCAGGCCTGTGCAGCCTCAGATGGAAGAGGCAACAGAGGAAAACAAGGCAAGGCGGGGCCTGGGCTGAGATGGACAGAGACAGAGAAACACGGAAGCTGAGCCCGAGAGCCTGGATTCACAGATGGGAGAAAAGGGTAACCTTCGGTCATTAGGAGGGGGAGGGAAAACCTTGGAGAAGTCACTGGTGCCAAATGTTACATAACGCTGGGACGCGCTCCGCCTGCCCGCCCGATCCTGCTTCCTGCTGCAGT